CTGGGTCATAGGGGAGCTCTATGTGGAGTCTTTTGAGGAACCTCCATACTGCTTTCCAAAGTGGTTGAACAAGTTTACACTCCCACCAACAATGCAGAAAGGTTCCCTTCTGTGCACATCCCCTCTAGCATCTGTTATTAGAGTTTTTGATTATACCAATTCTAACTGGGGTGAGGTGGTATCTCAATGTTGTTTTGATTTGCATTTCTTTTATGGCTAGAGAGGTTGAGCATTTCTTCATGTATCTATTGGCCATCCTTCTTTCCTCTTCAGAGAAGTTTCTCTGTAAGTCTTTAGGCCACTTATTTATTGGGCAGTTGTTTCTTTGAGGATTTGTTGTTGAGGGATTTAATGAGTTCCAGGTATATTTCAGATATGAGACCCTTGTCTGTTGTATGGCTAGTGAAGATCTTCTCCCAATCCATGGGCTTTCTATTGATCTTGCTAGCTATGTCCTTTACATGCAGAAGCTCTGCAATTTCATGCAATCCCATTTGTCCAACCTTTCTTTGATTTGTTGTGTTTCTGGGTCAACAGAGACTTTTTTCTGAAGGTGATGGCTGTTCTCACTGCCTCACCCTGCTAGACCTTCTGTCTCCCAAATTTTCCCTAGTATCTCATTCCTATGTATCTTTTAAGCAGATTATTTATTGTTAAAGGCAGAAAATATTCTTATCTTGCTAGTACCCTATTCAGTCATGTACAGAAGACTTGGATTTTCTTTAGTTAGATGTTTGTGTGGTAGTTGTGGTGCTAGGAATCAAACCTGGGGCCTTGTAAATGCTAAGCAAGTACTCTTTCTACAATCAAAATGGCACATCCAAAGGTTAGCCAAATTAAAGACACTTCTTTTCTTAAAATTCTGCCCGTTTTAAGGTAATATTTTTTTCTCTTTGATTAATGGCAAGGAGGCTGGGTGCCAATGGCACTTGCCTCTGTTATCCTACTCAGAAGGCTGAGATCTGAGGATCGTAGTTTGAAGCCAGTCTGATGAGATGTGGGACTCTTACCTCCACAAAAAGCCAGAAGTAGAGCTGTGGCTCAAGTGGCAGAGCACTAGTCTTAAAAAAAAAACTTCAGGGACAGCACCTAGGCCAATACAATAAGGACAGGGAGACAGTAAAAACCAATTCAAGTAAGAAATTTCTTGTTTAGAACTCTGGCTAAAAGTTTTGTGCTAGTTTTGGTCTTCTGTCTAGGGTGTTGTTATTTAATATGAATTTGGTTATGTGATTGTCTCATATATACATGTTACTCATTTTCAGATGTGATATGCAGAAAGAACATCACTTGACAAAGAGAAGTGAACCATCTGATTTGCTAATAGTAGTAACTCATGTATTGTGTACTTTTGTAGGCTTCTTTGGACCAACACTGAACAGTTTCATCCACATTCTTATGTACTCCTACTATGGACTTTCTGTGTTTCCATCCATGCACAGATACCTTTGGTGGAAGAAATACCTCACGCAAGCTCAACTGGTATGCTGTCCCTTATTCATATCTTTTCTTTGTGGCTCAGATAGGAAGAGAGACAAGTCAGTGGCTTCAGGGCTAGAGGCATGTTTCAGTGTTAAAGCACCTACCCCAAAAGCATGAGGTCCTGCGTTGAAACCCCAGTTTTTCTTACACATACACATTAAAAAGCTCTCAAAGTCAGTGTATGTATGTATGGGACTGCCTGTTTTTCTCCAAAATGGTCATTTAAGAATTACACTTTGTGCATTAAAATGTTTTGTGTGTGTATGATTGGCTTACAAAGGGATGTTCTTTGAAATGCCAGTGGACATTTTTAAGTTAATGTAGCTGTTAAATTATTTTAACTCCCACTTTTCCATATGAAAGTTTATGAGAATTTTGTATACTTACATGCTTTCATACCAACTCTGGAACAGGATAGTGGCCTACTTCGCATTTTGCTTGGTTTGTTCCTATAAGATATAGAGTGATAGTACTGGATACATGCACTGATGACGTGTGGCCCCCGTGGGGTGGGACAGCGCCCAGTCCACTTACCTGCCGCCGCCTCCTCTGCCACTCCAGGTACAGTTCGTGCTCACCATCACACACACGCTGAGTGCTGTTGTGAAGCCCTGTGGCTTCCCCTTCGGTTGTCTCATCTTCCAGTCCTCCTATATGATGACACTAGTCATCCTGTTCTTAAATTTTTATATTCAGGTATGTGATACAAAGATCCAGTAGATTGTTCCTTTTGTATTATATGTTTAATGATAAAATGATAGTAGTATATGCTTGTGACTAAACTCAAATAATAGGCTTAGAAAAGAAGAAATAATACATTACTTCTTCCTCTTACCAGATCCTTCTTCAGACTATACAGTTAATGGTCTATAGGGTACTAATGCACATGCACTAAAAACCACTTATAGAACTCATAGCAGAAATACCATTGAGTTCTATGAATAGTTCTCAGTTTGTATCATGTATTTGCACTGTGCTACCAAAATCTGATATCTGAAACAGATTCAGGAGAATGCAGGAAAAAATAGGGAACTGTTGTCTTTTTGTTTTTTGGTCAGTCGAGGGACCTGAACTCTGGGCCTGGTTGCTGTCCCTCAGCTCTTCAGCTCAAGGCTAGCGCTCTACTACTTGAGCCACAGTGCCACTTCTGGCCTTTTCTGCTTTTGTGGTGCTGAGGAATCAAATCCAGGGCCTCATGCATGCAAAGCAAGCACTCTACCACTGAGCCACCTTAGGAACTGATATAATATGAAATTCAATAAACCCATATAAGCTACTCTGATAAAAACTTGCTTTACATTTGGAAAAAAATCCTTTAAAGCAAACCAATATATTGTGGGGTTTTTTTTTCAGCTTATGTGGTGCTAAGGAATCAAACCCAGGGCCTCATGCATACAAGGCAATCACTCTACCACTGAGCCACCTTCCTAGCCTGTGTGGGTTTTTTTTTTAATCGTGCTTTCATTTTCATAATCTAAATGGGAGGGAACTTCAGAATGCTATTTCAAAGCAACTTTGTTATAAAGAACCTATAAGAAGCTATAATGCCATAGGTCTCAGGTAGTTTGTAGACTTTAAATTGCCCTGTTTTTTGGCTGGGAAAATGGAAAGCTACATCAAAAATATGTTTCTATTTAAAACAATACTTTATTTGAAATTATATTTTCCTTACCAAACAAGAAGCATTCTCTGGTTTATTTTAAATTTGCTCAATGTTAACCCTTACTGGTTTTAACCCATACTAGTTTTATACAAAGTACAATTGTGGGAACTGAACCTTGGACAACTTTTCAAATCTTGTCTTTATAAAATTAGACTGGGTAGGCTTTGTTTCTTATAAGAGATAAAAGTTTCCTTTGATAACTGGCAAAGAAATAGCCATTGATGGAACCAAACAAAACCATTCATGCAGGCAAAAACAATCAGAGTTAAAGGAAAGCCAAAGAATCCTTTTGGTGCTTGCCTTTAGCACTGGAAAAGAATCAGGTGGCCCAGCAGAGGTAGGAAGTAGCATGGAAGCTTCAGTTAACTCTACATGCTGACTCAAATCAAATCTTTGTCTGAAAGTTGAGAATGTAATTTTGGTCTTAACCCTTGTTAGTACCATGCTTTAAAAACTACAAGTAAAAATGAGATGGGGTATTTTATCAGACTAGGAAGGATATGCTCGGATGGGTTGTGGCTCAGCAGCAGAGCTTGTGGTTACTGTGCATAAAGTCCTGGGTTCAGTTCTCAGCACCCAAAAGAATGTCAGACACAAACCAAGTCCAGCCAGAAACCCCACGAGCTGGCTGTTTTATATTCACAGCAGAATTTTGTATTCACAAATGCAGAATATTTGAATACTAAGCCCATCAAATGCAACTCCTGACTTTATAAAAGAACCCCATTTTGTTGATATTTATACATTCATCATGGTTTCTTATCCTAGTTTTATTTTTAACCACAGCTTAAAAAGAGCCACATTTGGGGCTGGGAAGGTGGCTCAGTGGTAGAATGCTTGCCTCCCATGCATGAGGCCCTGGGTTCGATTCCTCAGCACCACATAAGCAGAAGAAGCCAGAAGTGGCTCTGTGGCTCAAGTGGTAGAGTGCTAGCCTTGAGCTGAAGAGCTGAGGGACAGTGCACAAGCCCAGAGTTCAAGCCCCACAACCGGGGAAAACAAACAAAAAAGCCAATTTTGAATTCGTAGTAAAATGTCCAGGGCCCTAGAAGATTGTGTATTGTTTCATAACTATGTGCAATATTAGAGCAAGATCTTAAAGAGGACTTTTTCTTTTTCTATTGTACACATCCAACAGACCTACCGAAAAAAGCCAGTGAAGAAAGATACACAAGAGCCACCCACAGAGAAAGATGTCAAGAATGGCTTTACCAAAGCCTACATCACTGCGGCTAATGGAGTTATGACCAAGAAAGCGCAGTAATAGTAGAGGAACAGAAAATGCATATACACTGCACTAGCCTAACAGATTCGCTTGTTTTAAAGCAAAGACTGAATTGAAAGTTGTATGTTTTAGCATAAACTAATTTGTTTTGTGTTTCTAAATCATTCATACCCAGAGTGTATTAATATATTGCTATTAGGCTACTCTGTTCATTGAGTGCTTTGGTCAGCAGTGAGGTGATGCTGACACAGCACAGGTGCGGCTTCTCCCCTTCCTTCCACAGTCTTCCCTCATAATGCCTTATCCACACACAGCCAGGAACACTGCTCTTCGTGCAAGCCTTCACAGAAAGTTTGACTTTTGTTCATGTTCACGTCTGTGAGAGCTGATGAGTTGTAAACAACAGAGTATGTTGTGGTCTATACCAAGCAATAATTGTCAGTGCATAAAACCATCAGCCCAGTTGTTCCTTTAGCAAGCAACCCCAGAAAATATTCAATGCACTCATCAATTAAGACAAAAATCTAGTAAAATCCCAGCACTTGGGAGGCAGAAGCAGGAGTATCTCATGTTAAAGGTTAGCCTGGGCTACATAGAAAGACTGTATCTCAAAAAAAAAAAAGCTGTCTACCAAATCCTCATAAGTCAGACTTTGGTAGGAGCCACCCCTGAGTTTTAATTTGGTTTCCTTGTTCATAGCTTTATGTCTGTCTCCCACATCAGTCAAGCTAACTTAGTAAAGACACCTGCTTTACACTAAAATCTGTGTCTAGATCTGGCTGCCTACTTCCTTTCTGAACAGGAACTAGAGTTTACTTTGCCCCTTTCCTCAGCATGTGCATGCTAGGGAAATATATTTGTGTATATTCTGAATATACGTGAGAATATACATTAAGTTTGTCAACTGTTTCTTGTTAGCCTACTTATGAACATTATTCCACATACATGCCACCAAATCAGTCTCTGCAGCTATTTAAGTTTTTTAATACAGGATGCATATGGTATAGGAATATGGAAAGATTCCAACACTGATGTGGCTGCTAGTAAGTTACAATAAAAATGCTACTTTGGCAAACAACACATCTTTTCCCTGCCCAGAAGCAAGCACAAAAGCAGACAGAAGCATTGATGATAATTTCCTCTCCCTAAGCACAAAGAACAAAGATAAAGTATGTTTTCTAAAGATTAATTTATGCCATATAAAACAAGACTTGCCAACTTTGATATTTCATCATCTTTCCTACTTTGTTTTCTGAATGTTTTAAAGTTGTGACACTGACATCACACACAGGCCCACTGGAAGGGGGCTTTAACAGTTGCCCAAGCATGGTATCTTTCTGCCCTTTTTATGTCCTCCTGAACTCATTTTAAACTTTCCCTGTTTGGAAAACTGTTCTCACTTTTTAAACTTCATGAATGCTTTCTCAGGGCTTGCCTGATTTTGAAAGGCGGCTAACACTTGCAGGCTTTTAGGGTGACTTCATTGTGCCCTCTAACACCTGTCTCTATGGCTGGTCATTTGTGTTGAGCAGACACTTGTTCTGTCTGATGCCCACTTGCTATGCTATTTGTTTTCTAAGTGGTTTTCTCTAGGGTGCTTAACCACAACGTAACATTTCACATAACTGTATTCAATATATTGTTCTCTTCCAGGAACTCTTATTAAAACAAGGGCTAGCTTTTGAGTATGACTGTGACTGCTTTTCTCTATGACAGGACACAAGCCAGACAAAGGAGAAAATCCCTTGGAGAGAAAGGACTATAGTTTAGTTTTAGTTCTCAAACACCAGCAGAAATTTGTCACCAAAGTGCATTCTTAGTAAAAATGAGGCTTACAGAGGAAAGAGACATTACTGGCAGGCTTGTTCTTAATTGCCCATGTGTCTCACTGTGCATCATTCCTGCAGTTTGGATGTGTTCATGGGCTTCACATCTATGTAGCACACACGGCCTTCCTGTAGCTGACTTATCAAGAAGCTCCTCATACCAGGCTCTAAGCCTCTCAGAGCAAAGCTGAAACTGATTCTTAGTAAAACATTTAGTCTTAAACCATTCAAGGGCTGACAAAAAAAAAAAAAAACAGAGCTATGAACTCTTGAGCCACAAAAATTGAAATCAGGTAAATGCTTTAACTTGTCATTAACTGTTGTGACTTAAAAAATGTTTACTTGTAATGTGATTTTTCTAAAACAAGACTGTAGAAAACAAAATTATAATTGTTTAAAAAATGGAGATGTTTCCCCAACTAAATTTCCTCTAGTGGGAACAAAAACGAATGAATACTGTAAAGCCTATTAATAATTACCTTCAACCTTAAAGAAAAATAGAATGTTTGCTGAATGGAATTAAGCAAAAATTCAACCCATCAAAATTACATAACTGACGGTGGATAAAGTCCCCCCCACTTCCAGGAGAAAAGCATTCCTTTTAAGGAAAGAAGAATGTACTGTGATGGACAGAATAGCCTTTTGTGTGTAAGACCATTCCATTTCTCTCTAGTATTTCCACAGCATTTACAAATGTCTCTGGGGTTACTTCTTTGAAAATAAGGACATCACTTTTTTGTAGTCCTTTGTAAGTACTTGCATCTTAAGAACATAGCATCATGGTTAGGGTGGACAGGTAGGCAGGAGAAGCCATTTTTTCCTTTAGATAAAAGCATTCTGTATGATTGTTGTATAATAAATTGATTTTTACACTAAAGTAAAACATGTTGCATTTTTTTTCTTATTTGGCTCCAGGAAGTTAAAATGTATGCCTACATGATATTCCAAATGACCTATATCATTCAAGGATTTTATTTTTTACCAATAAAATGATATTTTAGTAATTATTTTTAGTGTTTAATTCATTTCAATAAGCAGTGGGCTCAATCTGGCTTTGGTGGTACATACCTGAAATCCCAGGACTCAGAAGGCCGAGGCAGGAGAAGCCCAAGTCTTTCCTGGGGGAAAAGCAATGAGTTTTATATAACATTACTAACATAATACTCAGGTTAAACAATTTCAAAACATTGTCATTCATAAGAAAGATACTGATTTGATAAGCAGAGGATGTAACAATAAGAACAAATTATACATTATAGAATAATGTAGTGGGTGCTAGATTTGTGTAAAAATACTAAGCCGAAACACTGCACTATGACACTCAGGTCTGTGCTATTAGAGCACCTAAAGCCATCTCGTAATTTCTTTTAAAGAATAAAGTTCAGGGTATTTAAAATCACAGCACGTCAAATTGCATTCAAGTATTTAAGGAAGACTTCCCTCTCCAGGGGAAGCAAGGAAACCATCACCCTGAGTGACACATACTCAGTTGTGGGATAGAAAAGTAAAATCATTTATTTGTAGGTCATTTTTTAATCGTAGCTGCACTGAGGGGGACATGGGAATAACATAAGACCAGAAGACTTGGACTTCGTCATTGAGCAACTTGGAAATGCAGTTGTGGGTCCTATGGATGACCCAGGGGAGCCCATTACTGAGCCAGATCTAGCAGACTAGATGAAACAGGTATACATCCAAGACGTGCTCCAAGCCCTTGGCACACACTGTGATATGCACATGTTTCATGATCTGAGAGCGTTGGATACCTTGAGATCTTGCATGTACCAGTGACTACCTTCATCTTTTACACTCTGCCTATTAATCTCACTGGCAGAAGCCATTCTTATTGTGACTCCAGAGCACTGAACAACAAAAGGAAAACTGTGCTTTAGCTTGGGCTAATGTTATACTTGGAAGAAAGTGAGCCTGACAGTCTTAGTTGTGTCCCTAGCAACAAATGTTGCCTGGGCCCTGGCACCTCATGCCTTCAGTTCTACTCAGGAGTATGAATTCAAGCCCCCAAGACCAGCACACACACACATACACACACACACTATATGTGTATATATGTATATGTGTGTGTGTGTGTGTGTGCATGTATGTGTGTGAGATGAAGGTATACATTGAACCAGCCTTTATTCTTTTCAGGCCAATAGGAAACTCAGAGTTCCTAGGCTGCAGTCTTGAGGCTGAATTGCTTTTTCTTTGGGCAGCTTCTTCAACTGATAGAATGAGGCGGGCCTACCACATTGCAGAGGGCAGTGTGTTTTACTTATTATCCACCAATTTAAACAGTCACATGTGTCTCACATGGCATCCCAGGCTCCCACTGCACAATGCCAAGACCCCAACCTGTCCATACTTTTCCACACCTCACTGTCATGTGACGGGTTAACATCCTGTTCTTGGGCTCTTCGTGCGTCCTTTGGTTTCTGGGATCTTGGCGTAGTTTGGCACAACATTTGTTTCTGACTTCTTCCAACACGGAACTAAGTCATCTACCAGTTCCATGAAACCCAAAGTCAAGCAGGCTTGAGAAGTCCATGGGAACCAAGCTATCCCATGCCCAGAGCTGCAACGCAGAAATGGAGCTGCAGCCAGGCCCGGTGGTGGAAGCTCCCTGAGGGGCTGGCTCAGGAGAGAACTGAGTCGAGTGCTTGTGAGTAAAATTCACAGTCAAGGAGAGGCAGCCCTGTCGTAATAAATTCTAGGAATTTCTTATAGAGAAAAGGAGGCTTGGATACAAGGTGAGAAGTAGTGACAGAAGGTAAAGTGGACAATGTCTAGCCCTGTGCGCCATGCTAACAAGCCACCAGTGCTGGGCCGCATCAGCAGCAGAGGAAGCAGGTCCTGGAGAGTAGCTAGTCTGAAGTCAGAAAAACATTAAGAACAACAACAAGAAAATTCCCCCAACAAGCTACATAAGTTTATTGCTGGGAATTGGAAGATATGAAGGCACAGACACTGTTGATGGAAGAGAGTGGGGACTGGAGATGTGTGTGCTGACCCACTGCAAGGAGACCCACTGCAGGGAGCGTCTGTGGAAGGTGCAGGTGATGATGAGGACTGGGTGAGCTGGACAGGAGGATGCAGTAACAAAGCTGGTGGGGCTGGTGCAGTGGCTCACACCTGTAATCCTAGCTATTCAGAAGGATCATGGGTTGAGGATAGTCTGGATAAAATCATGACTGTCTGAAAAGTCAGAAGCAAAAG